TAGTAAAAACTTTTGAGGGACTAGAGGTTATAAGGCAGCTGGGGGGGGGGGGAGAAGGGGAAGAGGATCTTTCAGTGTGAAACAGGGCCCAAGTGGGAAGTACATGGCTCATAAAAGATTGCCGGGTTTGAGCGCTTGCTCCTGGGTGAAAAGGAGCTGAGAGGAGGGGGGGGGGGGAAGCAATCCTCAAAGGAGTCGGAGAGCAAAACGCTACACAAAATTTGCGTATCTGTGGAGCAAAGGAAGGAGCTAAACGGCTTGAAGAAGCTGGGAGGGAGCAGTCATAATTGTGCTGCCACTTTTGATAAGAAAATCAAAATCTTCGAAAGCAGGAGATGATGACTTTGATGACTTCTAGGGGTCGTTACGTTTTCAAACCCGTGCCATTCTTTCAGCGAGGAAAAAACTACAAATCCTCAAAAGGTCTAACTTTTAGTTTCTTCTACTTCACACACATAGCCAGTCCAAAGCGCCGCGAAGCGGCGCTTTGGACTGGTCTTATATATAAAGCTGAATGTCTGTCTGTCTGTATGTATGTCTGTCTGTACGTATGTGCGGAATAGAAATTTTTATTTCTGAACCGATCGGGACCAAACTTGGCACACATATACTTCGGGGCAGGGAGCGTGTCATAGGCTACTTTTCGTTATCGATCGATATCGATTTTATCGATTTTTATCGATTTTTTTGCTGAGTTCACCTACGGGGCCGGGAGTTGGCACAGGGGGGTAATCGAGCATGGGGATTCCGAATACAATATTGGTTTTCAGGATTATCGATTACTTTTATCGATTTTATCGATTTTTTTGCAAAGTTTGAGCTACGGGGCTGGGAGTTCGCACAGGGGGGTAATTGAGCATGGGGATTCCGAATACAATATTGGTTTTCGGGATTATCGATTACTTTTATCGATTTTATCGATTTTTTTGCAAAGTTTGAGCTACGGGGCTGGGAGTTGGCACAGGGGGGTAATCGAGCATGGGGATTCCGAATACAATAATGGTTTTCAGGATTATCGATTACTTTTATCGATTTCATCGATTTTTTTGCAAAGTTTGAGCTACGGGGCTGGGAGTTCGCACAGGGGGGTAATTGAGCATGGGGATTCCGAATACAATATTGGTTTTCGGGATTATCGATTACTTTTATCGATTTTATCGATTTTTTTGCAAAGTTTGAGCTAGGGGGCTGGGAGTTGTCACAGGGGGGGTAATCGAGCATGCTGATCACCCCCAAGGGGGGTGATCAGCATGCTCGATTACACCCCTGTGCCAAATTCCAGCCCCCTAGCTCAAATTTTCAAAAAATCGATAAATTCGATAAAAGTAATGGACGATCCTGAAAACTAATATTGTATTCGTAATCTGCATGCTCGATTACCCCCCTGTGCAAACTCCCAGCCCCGCAGGTCAAACTTTACAAAAAAAAATCGATAAAATCAATAAAAGTAATCGATAATTCCGAAAACTAATATTGTATTCGGAATCCCCATGCTCACTTCCCCCCCTGTGCCAACTCCTAGCCCTGTAGGTGAACTCTGCAAAAAAATCGATAAAAATCGGTAAAATCGACATCGATCGATAACGAAAAGTGGAGTATGACACGCTCCCTGCCCCGAAGTGTATGTGTGCAAAGTTTGGCCCCGTGCAAAGCCGGGTACGCCAGCTAGTCTCTGATAGGATCTTGCCGTTACTCAATCTTGAACTCGGTCCTGGTTTCCGAAGCTGCTGTACGGTGGCTCTAATTGATCTTTGTATATGAGCGGGAGTCCCGCCGGTGACCGGATCGCGACACTATCGGGACTTCCGCAGGAGCTCCCGGTTTTCTCAGTAGAAAACATGTCGGGACAAAACCGCGGTCGCGCCGCATTAGCCCGAACGAAAACCGGGAGTCCCGGTTCTCTCGCGAACCATTTTACTTGTGTCCCGCAGTCATTCCGGCGGGACACAACTTTTTCACCGGCGGGACTTAACTGCGAATGTCTGAGGCATTCAAATCTTGGGGCCTCCAAGACTCTCCGCCAATAGAGATTCCCGGCGGCAAAAACAAGGGGTGGGGATGGGGACAGATACATGATTCAATGCTATAAGCAAGAGCGCTCCAGAAGCGCTGCTGTTGTAAGGGCTGAATTAGTTGCGGCGTCGCTTCGCGAAAAATTCGCACCGATCGTACCTCCTGACCGTTCCCCCCCCCCCCCCCATTTCCCTCCCAAAGGCACAGGCGATTCAACGCACGCAGCTGCCCATGTAATGGCGTCTTTCTGATAGCGCTCTTTTGTTTCCCTTACCATCTGCTGTCTCTCCCTTGCATGAACAATCTTCGTCGGACGCAGTGGCGTCGGTGTCTTTGCATGTCATAATCGCCTACACCACTTCAGCTCGCTGCCTTTCAACCATTCGACACGTTCACTTTGAGACCATGCCTTGAATTAGCTGAAGTAGCATGTTACTAGTGAGTAGTTAGTAGAATGCTAGTAGTAGTAGTAGGAGTAGGAAGAGTGTCTAATATGTTACTAGTAGCGTGTTACTAGTATTACTCGTGTTATACACCAGTTAATGAAATTAGTGAATAACACGAGAATGGAAACACGTCGAAAATGGAATATTTGCCTCCTCAGATTTTCCGATTTGTAATCGAATTTTTGTTCACCTTCTTGGGAATTGAAAATATAATAATAGCATTTTGGTAGAACAGACTTAAAGGCAGCGTCCAGGCAGATCTGGACCTATGGGGCTTTTACGTGGAAAATACTTTTGGGGCCCTAACTAAGGCACTGCCCAAGCGACAGCTCAGGTAGTGCTGTAATGGCTGAGATATTCCCCTCGAAACTGGACCCCGCGAACGTATTCGCATGGATTCATGGCAGTTTCGCGCCAGGACCCACGCTTTGCGCCATGAATCCATCCGAAACACGGTCGCGGGGTCCAGTTTCGAGGGGAATATCTCAGCCATTACAGCACTACCTGAGCTGCCGCTTGGGCAGTGCCTTAGTTAGGGCCCCAAAAGTACTTTCCACGTAAAAGCCCCATAGGTCCAGATCTGCCTGGACGCTGCCTTTAAAGCTTCCGAACGCATGCTAGCATTCTGCCAAATGCTTTGCAAAATATTGAGAAAAAATTGAAACAAAAAATGCGAACGAACTTATTACTCAACCTAATATTTTACTCGTACTGACACAAAGAGTCTGGTCTGCCCCATGGCGAACTCGTTCTGCGCATCGGCCAGCGTCTGGTAAATTTCTTGGTCAATGTTTATTCAAGGAAGATGGCCATTCTGCACCGCTAGCTCTGGCAGCCCAATTACTTGCGCCTCTGATTGGTTAGCCCTGCCGCGCCGGTTGGGTAAAGAAGCAGGGGCGCCGTTACGTTCTAGCGATTAAGGATGCCATCATTGAAAGCGGAATTTACTTCTTGTACACCTACCAACTGTACTTGTAATAATATGATAAAAGTTGGTTTTAGAAGTGTTTTCTCGTGTGCTTCATGTGTTAAAACTTTTGAAAAATGCTTGACCCAACTTTCAGTGAAGAAGTACAGCAGCCTCAAATATTGATTTACGCATTAGCGCATACGTTTTCGAGAGTACCGTTGTGGGAAACTCATCAGTTTTGAGACATAACGCATGCATGCGCGACCTTGCGGTTGGGTGGATTAGTCATCTCCATGACGAAGCGGTGCACAAGAGCATACACCCTTTATTCTAGTGCGCCGGAGACCTATCCTCCTCAATAAGCAGTTACTATCTCCTGTGGTATCATCAAAGGCACGAAAGGGTTGAGAAAAACTAAATTCCCATATCTAATTATCTGCCTCAGATCAGGTTCCATCCAGATCAAGTGATAGATGGCGCGACGACGATTATCTGACAAAACTACAATCCCTACAATTCATTTTTACGACGCCACGCATCTGTACTGAATCGGAAGCAATTCTCCTTCACTAGTACTGAGCAATAAACACGGTTTCTTTCCTCACTATCCTATCCTCATGTGTATAAGCTTTTTCGTATTTTCAAAGAGCTGCTCAGTCACTTCATTGTGTTTCAAGAAGCGATCCTTAGACCGCACGATTCTTTCAGGCAATACACAACGATATAAGGTTCTTTAGTTGCGAGACCTTTTGATGTGTTCGGGCTGGTCGATGTAAGCTAGGACCACCCCGCGGCTTATATACCTGAAAATAGGATAGGTAGGAAACTCCTCAAAATGATGTGAGCCGAAAAATCAGTCGGTCGCTTCCATTTTTGCGAACAGAAATCCAGGATAGGCAAGCTGCACGTCAGGGTGTACACGGTGCGCGACGTCGCTATGCCGCGCTCAAATTTTGGGCCTTACAGAAGTCTCCAGTGTTAAAGTGGCACGGCGGCAGAGTAGGGGTGAGGCAGATTCATGACTCGATGCCATAGGTATGGCACCCGCCATATTTGATCCTCTCGATCCGCTTGATCCGCTTCGTGCAAAACGCATGTCACTAATTTATCATTTGGCGTCGCGTACAGCGTTTGCCGTAACCATACAAAAAAAAATCCTTTCTACCTACACGGCGCCAAATGACAAACTGCTGTGCGCGCGTGTTTTGCACGAAGCGAATCGAGCAGATCAGGTGGATCAAGCGGATCAAGAGAATCAAGCATGACAGGTGCCTAGCACTGCGTTAGAAGCGCTGACTCTTGTAAGATTAACTTCGCTTGCGGCATCACCTCGCTAAAAATCGCGCCGACTGTGCCTCCTAACCGTCCCTGGATGGACACCAAAGTGGCATTGAGTGCGATGACACATATGATTGACTAGATTGTACTGAAATAGTAATTTACTTGGAAGCTCGGTGCAGAACATAAGAACTGGTTGACTGAGAAACTACTACGCTGACTGTTTCAATTCCAATGTTGAACGAGAAAAATGCGCTTACTTGTAGACATTCTCTTCGCAATAATATGTTGATTGAGAAGCTTTAGTGCGGAAAGATTCAATTCGACTGTTAAACGGAAAAAAGTGATCTTACTTGTAAACATTCTCTTCGCAGTAGCATTTTGTGTAAAGACATTCTTCCCGGGTACCAAACAAGGACGACATCAGTCAGAAACTGAAATAGAGAAGTGGCTATTCACATCCGAGAAGCAAATGCGGCAAAGAATATGCGCAAAGCTGCATGTTCATCACAGGTGGATGCACTTAAAACTTTTATGGGAAAAAAGTAAGCACTTTCATAGCAAATGAGCAACGAAAACATCTGACAGATTATTATAAAAGGTTATCAACATATTTCTGTAGCTAAAATGAAGAAAATCCTTCTACTATCAAATACATATCAAAGCTAAGCCGATTCAAACGTCTAGTTGAACGTTCGCAGCTTCCGAGTCAAAGTATGGAGCTATGGCCGGGCGAAGCTCTTCAGTGAGAAAACGCACAGTTTGGGATTCACAACGGCCAGTGAAAGTGATGGGTTGATTTACTAGGACCATAACCCGTTCACGCACCTGAAGCATGCAGCATGAAAAGTCCTGCTTATTCTGTTCATGTGTTCATTCTGCAAATTTCAAAGTCCAACACTACAATGCGAGGAAAACAGATTCGAGCGTTGACGTGGGATCGTCCCTAATTTTCAGCAAACGATTGATAACTAACAATAGTTTACGAACATCTTAAAAAACGTTTTTGAATTACCGAATCGAAGAATGGATCACGTAGTATGTCTTCCATATGAATAACCTCAGTGGCCTGGCGTCTCTTCGCCTCAAGAGCGGTCGCACGGATGACAGCGTGCGCCTGAAAGATCACGCCTACACAACAAATTTGGTAGGGAGAAGCAATGCTGATATTTTGGCATAATTAGCACAACTATGCGCTTTCCATCATATCAGCATCTATATGCTACACTTTAGACCGAATCGAATGATCATTCGATTATTTGAATGAGTCACGAATGCGAATAATTCGAAAATTCGAATACTCAGAAATCTTATCGTATAATATTCGATGGTCGATTATTCGAAAACTTTCTCAAAATACTATTCTACAGTTGAATATCCAAAATCTCAACTTCCAGATATTATTCGATAGTCGAATGTTCGATGGTCATCACTTCGATCATTCATTGTTCATCACACATTTGAATATTCGATGATCATAAAATATTTTAAAATGCGATTGATATTCATGGCGCAGGAACTCCTAGCATACAGATCCACTGCGAAACATGCCGTCTCAAAAAAGTTCCAAAGGAATTTCGAATTTTGTTCAGCAAATTCACCCTATTTTCAGGTGTATAAGCCGCCTTTTTCAGAATAAGGAGCTGCTCAGTCGTTTCACTGTGTTTCGGAAAGCGATCCTTAAACCGCGCGGCTCTCTTAGGCAATACGCAGCGGCATAGAGTCCTTTGATCCCAAAGCCTTGTCATATTTGGGCTGGTCGATTCCACAAAAAAAAAAATCCCCTGCCTGCGACTTATACACCGTAGGATACTCAAGTTATTTTCATTAAACGACTTTTCGCAGTTTCAAGTTTCTTGATGTGTATTAACGGTGCTGAGAAACATTGAAAACATCCGTTAGGTCTAGGGCAGAGTTCACGCGATTTGATAGTCGCGATTCAACCGCGACAAGACAACTGTTACGAGTTCATTGCATGCCGACCAGCTTGCATTTCGGTTGTGATATTTTTCCAGCCCGAAATTTTTGAATCTTATATATAAAGCTGAATGTTTGTTTGTCTGTCTGTATCTCTGTCTGTATGTGTGTACGTATGTTCCGAATAGAAAATTCCATTTTTGAACCGATCGGGACCAAACTTGGCACACATACACTTCGGGCCCCGGCGGGTGTCATAGGCTACTTTTCGTATCGATCAATATCGATTTTATCGATTTTTGCAAAATTTAAGCTACGGGGCTGGGAGTTGGCACAGGGGGGTAAGTGAGCATGGGGATTCCGAATACAATATTAGTTTTTAGAATCGTGCATTACTTCTATCGATTTTATCAATTTTTTTGCAAAGTTTGAGCTACGGGGCTGGGATTTGGCAGAGGGGTGTAATCGAGCATGCTGATCACCCCCACGGGGTCAGCATGCTCGATTACACCCCTCTGCCAAATTCCAGCCCCCTAGCTCAAATTTTGCAAAAAATCGATAAAATCGATAAAAGTAATGCACGGTTTCGAAAACTAATATTGTATTCGTAATCAGCATGCTCGATTACACCCCTCTGCCAACTCCCAGCCCCGTAGCTCAAATTTTGCAAAAAATCAATAAAATCGACATCGATCGATAACGAAAAGTAGACTGTGACACCCGCCGGGGCCCGTAGGGTATGTGTGCCAAGTTTGGTCCGGATCGGTTAAGAAATGGAATTTTCTATTCGGAACATACGGCGGAGCCGGGTAAGCCAGCTAGTGTAAAATAAAATGAATGGAAATCGCGGCGACTGAATCGCGACAATCAAATCGCGTGAACTCTGTCCGAGGCCTTACGGTGTTGACATAACTTATGTGAAAAGCATTATTTTGGTACAATATTTATAGTCAAAGATGACATTGAAAAGCCCAATGTAGTTTTAGGCTTTGACTTCCTTTCTCAGGTCAAACATGGGCCTCATGTCTCAAAACCCTCTTCAATTTTCGATAATCCTACAGCAGTGCTGTGCGATCGGTGAATAGCTTCATACTATAAATCTAAGGGCCGCATGCACTAATATCCCCGCGGGGAGGGGATCGCAGCTTCAGAAGAAAGCTTTATATCCTGAAGCTCCGAATATCTGGATTTCACGCTGTCTACCTATCCTTAAGTATTCCTACTACCCTTCACTATGAACATGTTGAAGAGGAGCGAGAAGCTGTACGAACCGCATTTTCCAGCTTTTGTATGATCCCTGATGATCCCCGGCGGTTTTCTTTAAAGTCATTTTTCTTTCTCCGAAGTTAACGAAAACCTTCCAAAGTTGTACTGAACATCTAACACAATACTGCTAAGCATGTTGCTGATGAGAACAAATGAGTTTTTGAAAAGTCGAATTTTTCGGTAAGCCTCAAATTTCGACCTGTGGATCATCGCAGATTTCATGACCTCAAAACATCATTTGTTCTTAGCAGCAACATGCTTAGCACTGTCGGGTTAGACAATCTGCACAACCTATCCGTAAGCATTCCTACTACCCATCACTATGAACATGTTAAACAGGAGCGAGAAGCTGTACAAACTGCATTTTCCAGCTTTTGTATGATCCCTGATGATCCCCGGCGCTTTTCTTTAAAGTCATTTTTCTTTCTTCAAAGTTAACGAAAACCTTCCAAAGTTGTACTGAACATCTAACACAACAGTGCTAAGCATGTTGCTGATGAGAACAAATGAGTTTTTGAAAAGTCGAATTTTTCGGTAAACCTCAAATTGCGACCCGTGGATCATCGAAAATTTCATGACTTCGAAACATCATTTGTTCTTATAACGAACATGCTTAGCACTGTCGGGTTGGATAATCTGCACAACTTGGAGGTTTTTCGTTAACTTCGGAGAAAGAAAAATGACTTTAAAGAAAAGCGCCGGGGATCATCAGGGATCATACAAAAGCTGGAAAATGCGGTTTGTACAGCTTCTCGCTCCTGTTCAACATGTTCATAGTGAAGGGTAGTAGGAATGCTTACGGATAGGTACACAACGTGAAATCCAAGTATCTGGAGTTTCGAAATATAAAGCTTTCTTTTAAGCTGCGATCCCCTCCCCGCGGGGGTGTTAGTGCATGCGGCCCTAAGGGCCGCATTCATTAACATCCCCGCCAGGGAGGGGATCGCAGCTCCACAAAAAAGCTTTCTATCCTGAAGCTAGATATCTGGATTTCAAGCTGTCTATCCCGTATGTATTCCCATCACTCCCTTTACCATGAACATATCGAGCAGGAGCGAGAAGCTGTAAAAGCTGCATTTTCCAGCTTTTTGTTTGATCTCCTGATGATCCTTGGCTGCGACCGTCTTTTCTTCAAAGTCACTTTTCTTTCTTTAAAGTTAACGAAAACCTTCCAAAGTTGTACTATACATCTAGTACAACAGTGCTAAGCATATTGCATAAGAACAAATGAGTTTCTGGAATCCGATTTTTTTTTCGGTAAACCCCAACTTTCGATTGTGGTTCATAGCAAATTTCTTGACTTATCACTTGTTCTTACCAGAAACATGATTAGCACTGCTGGGCTAGATAAGCAGCACGACTTTGGAATGTTTTTAATGACTTCGAAAAAGAAAAATGGCTTCAAAGAAAAGATGGTGGGCTGCCGGGGATCATAACGGGGTGAACAAAGCTGGAAAATGCAACTTTTACAGCTTCTCGTCCCTGTTTAATGTGTTCATAGTGGAGGATTTCAGGCTGTCTACCTATATGCAAGTATTCCAACAGGTCCCCTGGGGATCCCCAGGCGATCACACAAAATAGTAAAATAACTAATCAGTTATGCCAGTAACCTGGCATCAATTATGTGCAGGTATTAGGGTATGAACCTTCATAAGCAAGACAGAAAGTGGAATGAACCTCCCTCGCTATCAGATATCACATGCTTGAAGTACTGTCAATCACTTCTCTCTGTAATTTCGCAACGGACAAACTCCAGAAAGCTTCAGAAGCGGTTCATAATAAGTCACGATTGTCTAACTGGTACTTCCGACTTTCGAGCATTATTTGATAGTCATATTTCCGAAGATACAGATTTTCGAATATCATTCGATATTCGAAAATTCCGAAAAAAAATTTCGAATGTATAAGTGTAGTATCTACGCAGTGAAGCTCAACCGAATGTTTTAGATCGATATAAATGACCTGTTGTCTGTCAACACCTTCTTCGGTCAACCACATCATCGCCTTCTCTAGTCCGAGGAAAGGTAACTCCTCTCGAACTACACGAGCCACGTTTTCCGTTTGCACGGTTAGACCTTCGAAAACATTCTAAATTTCCTCAAATGCGTTTTGTTTTCATCTCTGACAACTGACTTCAAACCTGCAAAGTGGTTAGCACTGCTTCAGCTGTAAGCAAAGCATCTGGTAACAGCATTCGACGGCCAGCAGAGTCGTCCAAAGTGCGTTCCAAACCTTGGTCACCCAATATGCTTA